TGAAGCTGGAACACAAACACACAAAATATAAACAAACATGAAGCTGGAACACAAACACACAAAATATAAACAAACTTGAAGCTGGAACACAAACAGGCTGAAATAGATCAAATATCAACATGAATTAATTCTCAGTCATTGAAATATTCCGTTTTTTAAATAAACTGAGGATCTTTGATCAGAATCAACAGAAAGTTAAAAAAGTTTTCATTCTGATCTTTAGTGAAACTTTCACAGTCAGAAGTTGGACAGGAAAGAAGGAGGAGGAGCTACGTCTCCTCACCTTGATGGGTGAGATGTGGAAATGTTCGAAGAAGCTCAGTCCTGACGTGTCGGAGAGCGATGCCTCCATCAGCTCGGCCTGCAGCAGCTGCACATCTCTGTCGATCAGCCGCGACTGAAACACAAACACTCGTGTGAACCTCCGTGTGCTGTTCGCGTGTCGGGGAGTTGAACCGTCAACATGCCGCCGAGCTCTACCTTCTGTCTGTTGGCCTGGGGGTCAGCAGCTGGAGCAAATAGAGCCAAGATGGCTCCCAGGAAACCCTGATCCAGCTTCACTGCCATTTCCTGAACCAGAGCCATGAAGTACCTGAAGAACAGACATTAGAATATAATATGTATAATGATGTTAATAATAATAATAATAATTCATTTTACGATTACTCGTGATCAGCATATTAATATCATTATCAAGTCGTCAGAGACAATTATTGGTTCAGTGAATTCAATAACACGTCAGCATTCAGAATGGAGGAGCCGGGGATCGAACCGCCGACCCTGTGGTCGGTGGACGACCCGCTTGACTTCCAGACGGTGATGAAGTACAACAGTGACTGTGGAGCCTTGACGTCAACCTGGTGGACACTCACTTGAACTGCATGACGTTGCTGTGCTGGTTGAACCGGGTGATGATGGACACGTCGATGAACGGCTTCGGTTCTGAGACGACAGAAGAAAGAGACTCAACAGATTTACCTCTGACCTCTGACCTCTGACCTCACACAGCTACAGACTCCGACCAAACTGAACCAGATGATTATTACTCCGTTTGAAACCTGATGATGAATCCTGATGCTTCAGTTTAAACTGTTTTTGAGGATTTATTTGTTCTGTTCTGATTTCAACATCATTTTCCTCAAACTGAATTAAAGTGAATTATTTAAGTTGATGTTAAATCTGCAACGTTTGTTTCTAATGAAATGAAGAGAAAAGACGGAGCAGATAAAAACTGAAGGTTATAATCTCTTTATGTCTCAAATAACAATCAATCTGATTTTAATCTGTTGATGTTCACTCACCTGAGTCAAGAGCGATGGACTTCGGAGGAGGAACTGGATGAAAGACGATCGGGAAGATCGCACCAGGAAGCTGATTATCTACCTGTACACAGAAACATGTCAGAGTGTGTGTGTGTGTGTGTGTGTGTGTGTGTGTGTGTGTGTGTGTGTGTGTGTGTGTACCTGTAACCAGTGCAGCTGAGCTCTCAGGCTGCGTTGATGCAGCGACTGTTTGAACTCCACCTGTATCCCAGACAGGAAGTTCCTCCTCACCGGACAGGAAATTGGCTGACGCATCATCATGATGGTTCCGCTGAGGTTCACCTGACAACAAGTGACATCACACCATCTCAGTCAGCTCATTGGACAAAAGACTAAAGACGTGTCTGTTAGATCATTAACCAGAAACGCTCTGTTCAAATTTAGAAAGGTTTGGTTACTTGAGAAAATCTGTTTGCAAACATAACAATTCTCGACCGATCCGTTTTAGATCATCACGGATCAGAAGTTATCGTGATCTCTGATGTACATGTTGACCTCTGACCTCCAGGTTGCCCTCCAGTTTGACCCAGCCCCCCTCTGTCTTCTTGCTCAGCTGACTCTGGTACGTTTTCTCCAGGAGGTTGATGATTTTCTGACTAAACGGTTTCCAGCGATTCTTCGGCTTCTGCTCCCAAACAACGCCTGAGCTGTACGACAACAGAGGAGAGTCAACAACAACAACAACAACACAGCTCCAGCGGCCTGAGCTACAAAACCGGTGATGAACCTGCTCATACGTTTACCTGGTGATGCCGATGTAAGCGATCTCCTGTTGACTGGTGTTGTTGATGAGAGACAGTCCCAGGTTCTGTAGCGACACTTTCACTTCCTGTTGAAATTGTTCAAGGTCCTCGGCCTGTCGAGCCTTCGTCACCACAGCGACGTCTTCGGTGAACAGCACCACCCTCTGACGTCCGTCCAGGAAGGACACCCAGTGGACCTGAGACAGGCTGTCGTAGGAGAACTGACCCACCTCGTCCTGAAGAACACAGCGTCACGTGTCTCTTGTGAATTTAAACTTCTATTAAAGGGACAAAGAACTGTGGAGGGATCTGACATATCAAAATATGTGATATTAACCTGCGCACTAACTAACTAACTAACTAATAACTAACCCAGAATAAGAAACCATGATCAAATATGTCCCTGTATTTCTACATCCAGTAACAGATCAACATGATGTGAAGTCTGAGTCCAGTGTTCTCTCTCTTTTCTATGTTTGGTCTCGACCTCCTCCTAATAATCCATTTATCCATTTTATCTCTATCGACCAGGATCAGTTAAAATATAAATACTGTAGTTTCAGTCACAGGTTAAAATATAAATACTGTAGTTTCAGTCACAGGTTAAAATATAAATACTGTAGTTTCAGTC